CTTGCAAGCAATGTAACTAATGAGTTAGTTACGGAATGATGCATTACGTAACGAGTAAAGAGACTTGCCAGTAACAAGATTGAACTAGGTATTGGATACCGACGATCGAATCTCGGGCAAGTAACATACCGATGACAAAGGGAACAACGTATGTTGTTATGCAGTTTGACTGATAAAAATCTTCGTAGAACATGTGGGAGCCAATATGAGCATCCAGGTTCCGCTATTGGTTATTGACCGAGAATAGTTCTAGGTCATGTCTACATTGTTCTCGAACCTGTAGGGTCCGCACGCTTAAGGTTTCGATGACAGTTATATTATGAGTTTATGAGTTTTGATGTACTGAAGGAGTTCGGAGTCCCGGATGAGATCGGGGACATGACGAGGAGTCTCGAAATGGTCGAGACGTAAAGATCGATATATTGGACGACTATATTCGGAGTTCGGAAAGGTTCCGAGTGATTCGGGTATTTTTCGGAGTACCGGAGAGTTACGGGAATTCGCCGGAGAGTATATGGGCCTTATTGGGCTAGACGGGAATAGAGGAGAGAGGCCAAAAGGAAGGAGGCCTGCGCCCCCCCTCTGGTCCGAATTGGACAAAGGGGGCAGCCCACTTTTCCTTCTCCCTCTCCTCCTCTTTCCTTCTCCAACAAGGAAAGGAGGAGTTCTACTCCTCCTCTTTCCTTCTCCAACAAGGAAAGGAGGAGTCCTACTCCCGGTGGGAGTAGGACTCCCCCCTTGGTGCGCCTCCTTCATAGGCCGGCCGCCTCCCCCCTTGCTCCTATATATATGGGGGCAGGGGGGCACCCCAAAGACACAACAACAATTGATCCTTGAGATCTATTAGCCGTGTGCGGTGCCCCCCTCCACCATAGTCCTCCTCGATAATATTGTAGCGGTGCTTAGGCGAAGCCCTGCGATGGTAGAACATCAAGATCGTCAACACGTCGTCATGCTGACAGAACTCTCCCTCGACACTCGGCTGGATCGGAGTTCGAGGGACGTCATCGAGCTGAACGTGTGCTAGAACTCGGAGGTGCCGTAGTTTTGGTGCTTGATCGGTCGGGCCGTGAAGACGTACGACTACATCAATCGTGTTGTTCTAACGCTTCCGCTTTCGGTCTACAAGGGTATGTAGATTACACTCTTCCCTCTCGTTGCTATGCATCACCATGATCTTGCGTGTGCGTAGGAAATTTTTGAAATTACTACGTTCCCCAACACATACTCCACCAGTGATGATTCTGCCACTCATGATACTGCCGCAAATGCTTCAAAGCAAAGTCCTCAGGCAACAGCTCCAAGGGTGATGACTGAACGTGAGCTTCTCCTTAGTCTTCATCAGAAGGTGGATCGCAATGACAAATGGGTGAAACGCCAGTTTGGTTTAATTCTTCACAACATGGCTGCCACTGATAATTCAGTGAAGAAGAACCACTACTACATCAACGAAATGTTCGATCACACCTGGGCTATATTGACTCACCTCTACGATGATGAGGATCTCAAGCAGATGGGCTTCAAGCAGGACTTTGGCTGGGCTAAGCCTCCACCAAAGAAATTCAAGAAGGTCGAAGTTCCTCCTTTGGTGCCCAGTTCATATTCCTCGTCCCGTGACACTGATGAAAATGAAGATCTAGACGACACTGCGGCAGGCCCTACTCCAACCGACGACCCCAACAACGCTGGCGCTCATCCATCGACTTCGTGAAGAAATTCTTCAGGGGCGTTAGTCCTCACTTTTCGTCTCTTTTGGTCATTTGATGACAAAGGGGGAGAAATTTGAGTTAGTCTTCAAGCGGGTCTATATTTATGGGCATTTTTTTGTTAAGTTGCAACTCTCGCTCTTCTGAAGCTTTTGTTGATCGAGTTGTAAACTTAAGTTTGATGGTGACCTGATACTTTTGCTCTGTTTTTCTGCATGCTATTTCCTCATTAATCCTATGCACGCATGTTGAATTACACTAGTCATCATATTTTATCATGCATTTCAAATTCTTCATTCTATATGTAAATGCGTGTATGAATTACAAGATATAGGGGGAGATCTCCATGACTCTACTCTTCAAGTGTGCATTGCTTCAAAAGCAAATACCTCACTATGCACATCTTCAGGGGGAGTTCTTCTATATCTTGCAATCAAATTCCTCAATATTGAGTACTTTCAATTCATATGTTTATCCCCGTTGAAAACTTAACCTATATTGTCATCAATCACTAAAAAGGGGGAGATTGTAAGTGCATCTAGTGCCCCTTAGTGATTTTGGTGTATTGAAGACTTATAGGTTAAGGGACTAATATGTTTGTGAGTGTACACAGGCTCTATAAGTCAATGAGGAGTTTGATATTTACAGTGAAAGTCGACCCCTAAAAATGAATGTCTTCGGCTGAAGACTTTGGTTCTCCTGAAGACTTTGAAAGTGAAGAAATTGGTGTGACCTTGAAGACTTCGATATTCATGCGAGGAATCTGAAGCGTGTTAGTTTCATTTTCTTCTTCTTGAGTCATAGGAAACACCGTACTGTTAAAGCGGGTCGAGGTAATACTAAGGAAACAGATTTCCAAGTGATGCTCATCTCAAAATCCTACACCTACCCAATCCTTCGAGTGAAGCCATTGGAAATCTCATATCAGTTCAGTCAATTTCTTCAGTGACAGAGACGAAGATCTTTTGGTCTCTGAGGAATTTGTTCTGACGAAGGAGTTAGGAATTCGCTAGTGCGAATTGCCTACACAGTGAGGAACATGATAGCCCTGAGGAATTCGGACCTCAAAATATCCGACCGTTGCTGAGCCGCGCGCTAGCCATTCCAAAATATCTACCACCTAACGGTCATATCATTGAAGGGCATTTATGTCTTATCATGTCGGGCTGCCCCGTAGGCTATAAATAGCCGCCCCCTACAACCACTAGCTGGTTGGCTGCTCCGAGAGAAACTGACACTTGTCATTTGAGAGCATCCCATCCTCTGAGGACTTTGAGCGATAATCATCAAGTGAGGAAAACCCAATTCCCAAACCCAAACCTACAAATCCCAAAGTGATTGAGCATCACTGAAGAGATTGTTCCTGTGTGGAACCGACGCTTGTTACCTTTGAGGATTGTGTATCCTCCAAACGGTCAGGCGTCATGGTCTGAGCATCCAAGAGGAATTGTGGATTGCCGAGTGACCTAGTCTGTGAAGGTTTGGAAGTCACCTGTGAAGACTTACCACTACTGTTGTGCGAGATTTGCGTGATCTTAGCTCAAGGAGAATACCGTGAGGACTGTGTGTCCTCGAGTTTAAATACTCAGCCGCTCCAACCAGACGTACAACTGTCACAACAGTTGGAACTGGTCGAACAAATCATTGTCTTCACCAAGCCAACTGGTTCTATTTTCTCAACCCTTTCATTTCCTCAGTTATGCGTTGATGTACCTGATCATTACTGCTTGAAGACATTGACTGAAGACTTTCTCTATTCCTCAATCCTAATTTTTCTGTCTGTTTGTCTTCATCCTGCTTATCCTGTGTTTACGCTTTCTGTACTCAGTGCTTGTCTTTCATTTCATCATGATGACTATGCTGTTACTCTGTTTTGCTTATACCTGAGTATTTATTCCGCTGCAAGTAGTTCTTCGCTTAGGAATTTCCTCACCTTGAAATTCCTCAGTGAAGATTTCTTAAAAATTGCCTATTCACCCCCCTCTAGTCGACGTAACGCACTTTCAAGATGTACCCACACTTCTTCCT